ACCACTCCTGCTTATAGAAGAAAACGAAGAGCTTCCGCCGTAGATAGTTGATCTACCAATACACTACCTGAAAAATACTTTAGGTACAACGGGAAAATATAACGAAAAATAAATGGAGCGGCAATGGATCACCTGCTTCACGATCTTCTTTGAAGAGAAAGCAATAGAGACGGAAAATCTGAAGCCAAAACCATGGCCAAAATACGTTGATGACGTATTTTTGGTATGGTTTTTTGGCAAGGAGGAGCTTCTGAAATTCCTAGACCATCTAAATTCCATTCATCTAAGAATTCACTTCACAATAGAACTTGAAGAGGGTAACAGTCTACCTCTTATAGATATGCATATTGCAAAGACCGAGAAGGGACACTTCGAACAGACTGTCTATAGAAAACCAACACATACCAATAGATATCTGAACTATGAATCTCATACACAATAACGCGTTTTACCACAAACCGAAACTCAATTTTACGTACTTTACGTAGTTTTAATCTTCTCCTGCCAAATTGAGTTTCGGTTTGTGGTAAAACGCGTTATTGTGTGTTAGTACAGTGCCGAAGGTTCCAGTCAAGAGTTTGATGAATCTCATCACCACCATCGCAGATACAGGCTCACAAACGAGAAGAACAGAGAGGATGAACTGAGGAAAATTAGTACTTATTTTTGACAAAATGGATACCAAAAACGCTCCATCAGGAAGGCAATCGGCAAGCAACAACAACACATTATTAAAAACATAAAATAAAATGTTGCTTTGGAAAATCAAGGTGTAAATAGTGTAGCTTGGGGATCGTGGAACAGACCAAGAGAAAAATTTCAGCCAGGGTTTAACAACATGGATTAGCCATTAGAAATAAACAAACAGCATCTGTTTTATTTCAGCGCCAACAGGCCATAAAATTGATTTCGGTACTTGCAAATAAATAGCTAATATTTCTGATTTTAGGATCAGGATCCTGCGTTTATCGAATACGTGGAAAATGCGTAGCAGTCCACGAAGACATCGTAACTAAGAGCGGGCGAAATATACAACGCGACAATTTCGGGGGCGGAGCCGTCTCCCCTCCCATACAAGCAGCACCGTTACCACCTGCAGCGCAGGCTATAAATACCACACGCATCACCCATAACCTCCCTGTGTTCAAAGTGATTTCGGAGCGCGATCATCACAATTTCCAAGTGAGATAGATCTTAGCCAAACGTCAGTAGTATTTCAGAGTTCAACAAACGAAAGGACAATATACATTTTTTTAATTATTATGACGCTATAAATATTGAAAAATTTGCCCTTCTACTTGAATACACATGTTTATTCTTTTCCTATATTTTCTTGAACGTTCCTTAGCATAAACTATTTTCCATATCTTCTGGTGTTGTAAGGGGATTCATATAAACACGATCTTTAACATATCCACACCAAAACCACCTCTACCGATCCATTTTTGTGGGTAATAATTATTTAAAAATTCTCGCTGTTCTCGATGGAAATGCGGAGGAACTCCATCTTGCTGAAACCACATTTGTTGGATATTAATGTTTTCAAATTTTTAAAGAAGTTGAGGTAAATCATTATGCAAAAAGTTTAAACATATAGGCCCGTTAAGTGACTAATGTTATAACAATAGTCTTAGAAAGAAAGAAGTGTAAAGATTGGAAAAGTTAAAATAAATGGCAAAGTATGAGAACTGTGGGAAAACTAGTATTTTTTTAGAAAAATTAAAATATTGGAAAACTATTAGGTTTAGGTGGGTATGATTGTCAATAAAAAAGTTGTTTAATTGGATCATATTTATTTTAAACATTTCAAAGCATATTCTCTTATTAATATTCTGAACAAATTTGTTTCCATTCTGGACTGCCAAAGGGTTTCATTTTAGGACAATTACTCTTTTTGGGTTATACGTCGGTTGTTCTGTAGTATAGTAGAGGATAGTATAGTATAGTATAGTAATAGTATTGTATAATATAGTATAGTATAGTATAATTTAGCAAAGTATGGTATAGCATAGTGTGCTAAAGTATAATATAGTATAGTCTTATACAGTATAGTACTTGCCTAACTACAAACAGTTGCCGTTGACGTGCAGTTGTTGCTTTGGTGCTGACGACTTCGCTTAGGCTGAGGCGAATATAAATTACGATTTACTTATTCCAAGTGATTTTTAAAGCAATCATAGCCTCGAATTAAATTCTACTAGACCAACCTCAATAACTTTGTAGAAGAAAGAACAAAACTGCCACTTGAATGGATATTATTTCCGTAAAAGTAAAAATTAATGATACTCAATTCAAATTTGTGCGTGCAGCATAGATTTTGGAAGGGATACTCAGCTCAGCCGGACAATGGTTTGAAAACGAATTTAAGTGAGCCACTTGTTCTGCTAAATTTTTGTTTTGTTTCATATATCACTGGTTAGAGAGCTCCATTTTTATTGGTTTCTAATAAAAATGTCGATACTTTTAAAAATAAAAATATAATGTAAAAGTAAAATATAAAAAAAGAATGTATTTTACATCCGTATTAAAGTAACAGTTGTAAGGATGACACACAGCTCTTTCAAGTATCTAATGCAGAGGAACAGGAAGAAGCTGCAATTAAAATAAATATGAGTCTCCAAAATATGGGTAGAATTCTCAACACTAGCTTGAAACAAATGCTCTGAAATCGAGACTATAAATTCTTATTAAAAGTGTAAATGAGCTGGAAAAACCTTTGATAAAAAGGGAAATATTAACAGCAGTTATTGAGGCTAGGAATTTGGTGGTGATTATAGACAGAAATTGAAGATGCTTACAGAGGACTACCTCATTTGAAAATATTATATCCGTATAGGAATCTTTTGAGCACTAATACTAACTTTAAATTAGAAGAGAGACTCGTTTTAAGTCAATTTAATCTTTTTGACGCCGTTTACGACCAGTGTTTAGACCAGGATAAGAACGGACTTCAAAAAGTTTAGGAAGCCTGCATTAGATATGCGTACAACGTTAGAAAACTCATATATTTAAGGTGGGTATCTATCAAAATAGTTGCAGTTTGTCTCTGTCTCTGTCACAAAATTATTTGGAATGCGTGCCCACCGTACTTGCAATATTATAATCACGTACCCAATATATTAAAACGTTCAAACTTGCAAACACAAGTACAGACGCATATTGCTAAGCATCTTATAAACGTATCGACTTTGTAGGAAAAGTGGCCGAATGTTCACTGATTGATTAATTATTTAGATCTATTACGTTACAGTTGTTTCGCAGGCTATTGGCATTAAAATATTCAAGGTATTTATTTCAAAACAAATGTGGTAAACTTAATTTCTTGTTTAATATAAAGGGTAGTTTGTTATATAAACGTGAGACAGAACAATAAAACATTACCATAGTTTAGTATTAACACAGTATTCTAAAAACGCTTTCTGCATATTTTTATATTTTTTTTCAAATGAGTGGATGGGATCAAATTAGACTGGGGTGGTCTAATCATTCTTCTCAACTAAATTAATGAATGGGCTGCATGCTTTATCTTTTAGATTAACTGGTGTGTGGTTATTTTTGTTTTTTACAAGAAGAACTCCGTCCTTTGCTAGAAAATGTACTCCTCTTGACTGTTCCAGCACATTTCGGCTTAAATATGCAAAATCTTTGTTGGTCCTTATCATTGACTTCCTCTCTCTCCAGATTTAAATCCATTGGATTATTGTATCTGGGAATATCTAATAATAATTATTATTATTATATTATAATTATATTATTATTATTTTTGTTTTGCTTTAGGTTCGTTGCTTATTTGTTGTGTTTATATTTGTTTTTGAAAAAAGCATTCATTTATAATAGATCAATTAGTTTCAAAAGCATTTATTATTACATTATTTTGAAAATGTGATTGTTTAGAACATAACTGATAAACGCTGGTACAAAATACAACTGTTTGACAGCACTCAACCAAATTATATCACTAACATTTTTATTTCTCGACTTGTGATTTGGAAACTGTTAGTTTTATGAGAAAACTGCGTTAAACAATAAACTCGATTTTTTTTAATGTCATTGCCTACGATTTTCTTTAAATTTAGTTAAGAATGATGACGGTGGTCTAATTCAATGCCCTCTACTCATCTTTAAAAAATATATGCAGAAAGTGTGTTTTTATAACTGTAATACTTTCCTTATCATTTTAATGTTTCTATCTGCTTTCGTTTTTAAGATAAAAATAAATATATATATATATATATATATATATATATATATATATATATATATATATATATATATATATATATATATATATATATATATATATATATATATATATATATATATATATATATATATTGCGTTATATTTGTAGCGCGATATCTCTCTCATGGTTGGTTTTTGGTCTAACGTTTATATAGCATACTATACTTTATTTTAAACAAGGAATCAGCTCCTTAAATTTTGCAAATATATTGCATGTATTTATATATTGTACGTATTTATTTATATAAAAGTAACCTAAGTTGGTAGTTGGTAGGTAAATATTGTCACTAATATCAAATATTTTAAATTAATCATGTTAATATTTGGTTCAGTATAGCGCTTGGTGAATTCATTCAGTATCGTCCACCGGATATAACTTCTTCAATAAAAGAGAATTATTATTATGGTATATTTGTTTATGAGAGCTCATTTTGCGATCTTCTATCTCCAATTCGGACACTAAAGATTTCTTATGCCAGTGTTTTCCGCATATACGAGCTGGACCTTATATTTGTTGGGTATAGCTATGTCAGTAAGATAAATTCTTTTGCCCATTTGATTTTTTTTTTATATTATTATTACTATTTTAAGGGGTGAAAAGGTCTAGTTAAGGGAATTCAAAGAAACGCTTCACTCTCATCTTTGTATAAACGTACCACTAATATTAATCTGAAACTTCGCATGTCCTTTTTTTTTAAACTAACGCTCCCAAGATATAAATTTCATATTATTTTACATTTTCGTATTGGAAAACTTACCGAAAACTGACGGAAACAAAAAGATCGAAAAGACACAGGAGACGAGTAAGTACATAGTTGGAAAGTGGAACAACTTGCGGGAAACGCCGAATTCACCCTCACTCTTTCCTCAAACTTTTGTCACATCTCCGTTAGGAGTCGGGCTTTGAATAAACGAGAAAAACGAGCGGCCAAACATAACCTTCCCACCTGGAATGTCGTAAAAATAATTTCGAAGGCGAAAATTATATTTCAATATTTTTTTATTCTGTCCCCGATGTTTTCCGATTATTTTTATGCGTCCCGATTGACCCTCATTTTTCTCTTTTACCAAAATGAAAACCGGCGCCCACGCGGTCACTACCCGCGCGCGACAATGACGAAAAATTTCGCGACGTTTCGAATTCGCGCCCTCCTCAGCGACCGCAAATTTCAAAGTGTACACCGGCAAAAATCTAGACGCGATCCTCCGTAGGCGCGCTGACGTCGCAGCGGTAAACGTCGTTTACGGCGTCGCGACGCTTAGATGACTGTTCGACGTCCCGCAGGTTTGCAAGAGGGACGACGCCAGCGCCATCAATGGAGAGATGATTTAGCGTATAACGGTATACGCGGCGGAGAGAGTCGGATAATGAATCGCTATTTGGACTGATTTTACGTCTTTATCGTGTAGGAACTGTGGGACGTCGGCCATTTTCAAGTTATTAAAAAAAAAGATGTCAAACATCTTTAAAAAGAAGTCGGAAAGGTTATCCTGCTAGTGGCACCGCATTCTGCTTTATAATAATTTAATCGTTCTACCTATGCCGAAAACTTTCACACGAAAGTTGTAGAGAATTGTCCGGAACAACAACTTGGATGTGTTGTATTACTGTTCCAAGTTAAGTTTCGTCGAAATAACAAGATAATCTCTCGAAAACTTGAAGAAATGTCGAGAATCTAAAATTTAGTGCAATAAATGTTTTAATGCTGTGCTGGCTTATTCCCACTGTGAAACATCTGTAAGTATCCATACCACCAAAGAAAACTTTTATTTAGAGAATGTTCACGTATGATATCGTAATATGAGTAAAATGAGAATTCCCTGACGAAAAATGGCGGAATGCCGTCCGATTGTTAGAATCAAGCGAGTTAAGTACTTCTAGTATATTCAGTCTCAATTTTCATCGTGCTGGCTTTTGCCTGCAATTATGGAAGTTACCTGCCGACGGCGAAATGGGTCCGGTAAGTATTAAAGGACAGAACGTTAGGGAAGGACTTTCAAAAGGTTTGATTGTTAACAAAATTCTTTGTGTTTATTTAGGTGGATGTAATGTTATTAAACAATGACATTAAATATATACAATAAATTCGTAGGTAGAAATATCCATACATAATTAAAATGGTTATTATAAATGTCTAAATCTAATTCTGTTTCGCTATCAGAGTCGTCATTGGGATGAAATGAATTTTTCCAGCTTTCAAGTGGTATGTTATTAAATACATGTTTTATAAAATTTATAACGCTGAGACCTAAATTAGGAGTGACATTTTCTGCTCTGACCTTTCATTTTACACAAATGTGTAAAGTGTAAAGTGTTATCGCATACATTCTTTTTAATTGCACATCAATTTAGGACTTCCAAAAGTTGCGGTTTTTTGTAACTGAATTCAAAATAAATGCCATTTTCTAACAAATATTCCTGGACTTCGGTTTTTTATTTTGATGTTGTTTTGAAACCAATTTGCATTAAGTTTGGCACTTGTATCCTTAATATTTTTTGCAGACCACAGCAAGCAGTTTGAGACAAATACGTCTTCTGACACAGTATGCACTCGTTCACCGAACGTGTTGCATACTATACTTTTTCTTCGACCGTTAGTTTTTGGTTACATTTTCACAAAACAACACGAATACGTCAGAATTGACAAACGTCAAAATTCAAGCCGTGTGGTAAAATCTCCGAAAACATCCGATTGCTCCCAAACCCGTGCGGTAAAATCTCGGTAAATGTCCGAAGTGGATTCGTGGGAAACGAAACTGACGTGGTAAAGTGACGCTTCCCGCACGCTAGATCTGTGTGTAATTGTGAATTCTACAAAATGGAGTAGAAAATAGTATATTATGCAACAAGTGCGGTGGTAAACGTCATTTGACTCATGAGTTTATTTGACACGAGCGGAACGAGTTTTTAATAAACGAGTGAGTTAAAAAGTTTACCGAACGTGTTGCATACTATACTTTTTCTACGACCGTTAGTTTTTGGTTACATTTTCGCAAAACAAGGAATACATTCACTGACATGACCGTCAGAATTGACAAACGTCAAAATTCAAAGCATGGGAAATATCTCCGAAAATATCCGATTGCTGCCCAATTCGTGCGGTAAAATCCCGGAAATGTCCGAAGTGGCTCGGATTCATAAGAAACGAAACTGACATAGTAAAGTGACCCTTCCCGCACTCTAGGTGGGTAATTAGATATTTTACAGACGGGAGTAGAAAAATAACTTTTACGTTAATGACTTTACCCAATAACAATTTGCAATAACATCGTTAAAGTTTTATTAAAGATTGAGACAGACTATACTCCAAGAATGAATTCCGAGGAATTCTGAAGATTTCCCAGAAATGCCAATGGAATTTAAAGGAATTCCAGAGGAATTTCAATGAATTTAGGCCTGAAAGAATATTTTTTATTTTAAGATATTTTTATTACCAGTGAGGGGGCCGGAGCCCCGCTTGGGGATCGCCCCGTGTGTGAGGCGGGGAGCTCTCGAAGCCTGGGCGAGAGATCGGGCCGCGGGGGGCTGGAGAGTTGCTCCGGGAATGAGGCAGGCGAGGCTTATGATGGATGGGCCCGCCCTTCCTCGGACCAGGGAGCTGCTTAGACTGACCAGAAGGGAGTGTAGAGCACTAACAGGGGCCTACACAGGACATTGCAGGCTTAGGAGGCATCTTTGCTTGCTAGGCATTGGAGACGACCCGGAGTGTAGGTGGTGCATGGAAGGGGAGGAGACCCCGTATCATCTGCTCACCGAGTGCCCTGCCTTGACGTGGGCAAGATTGGGAGTCTTCGGAACGGCCCTGATCGATCCGGACTCAGTGCACGGTATTGGGCTAAAGGAGTTGCTGACCTTCTACAGGAGGGGCGGCATTCTGGACGCCCTCTAGAGCGGCCTGGGGGCACAACGGGCCCATCTGGTGGCCTAAGTGCTTGGACGCCCGCGAGGGCGCCCCCCTTTAATACCAATACCAATACCAATTACCAGTGAGGATACAGAAGGAAATAGAAAAAGACATTTTCTCAAATGAATGGATTTGCGAATGTAACAAAAAAATGCTCTGTTTTGTTTTCCCCGTCTGCTTTTTGTTCGGTTTGAAAATATAATTACACCGATAACCATTTTAAAATTATGTTTCTACTCCCTTCTGCAGAATTCACAATTACACAATGATCTAGCGTGCGGGAAGCGTCACTTTACCACGCCAGTTGCGTTTCCCACAGATTCGAGCCACTTCGGACATTTCCGGAATTTTACCGCACGGTTTAAATTTTGACGTTTGTCAATTCTGACCTTCATGTCAGTAAATGTTTGTGTTGTTTTGCAAAAATGTACTCAAAAACTAATACACAGAAGAATGTTATGCGATATATCAGACAATTTAAATACTACACGCTATAAACTTCAATTAAAATCTAGTGGACTAGTCGGTAAGTAAAGTGACACAGAAATTTTATGTACCGTTTGCATGAACTTTAGTGGTTTTTACAGTTCTTATATTAATTTCTTGCCAAGGGCAATTGTATCACTTAGAAATATCCATGTCTCGTCAGTACTAACAAAACGAAATTGAAGGTTAGGACCTGATTTTTGTTGCTAATACACTTACAAGCTCTATTCTTGGATCAGTTCTCTTCCAGTTACAGTCTTTTTCTTTAAACAAACTACTTAATGATCAATTGTAAGAGTTAAATAAACAACATAACGTTTTAAAATTGTGTTCACTCCGTTGTTTATATGACATATCCAATAATTCATCTCTTTCTGTCTAACTTACACAGTTAAATAGAGACAACAATAAGACAACCGATCAGAACGATAAACGAATAGGTTTAATGGCAACTAGTGAATATTTTGATTGAATGGTACAAAATCCAGTAATCCGTTAATCTGCTATTTTTAATTTGTAATTTTTTCGTGACTGTCATAGAAAAAGTATAGTATGCAACAGGTTTGGTAAACTCTTTATCTCACTCGTTTATGAAGCATTTGCTCCGCTCGTGCGAAATAAACTCGTGGGTCAAATGCCGTTTACCGCACCATTATAGACCAACAGCATTTGAACCACAGAGTTTTGGAGTAAACATCTCCAACGACTTTTGATGACACACAAATCGTTGAGATAAAAGTGAATTGGTTTTTGCAGTCGTCAATTAATTGAGATAGTTTATCATTAAAGCGTGTATATTTAGATATATAATAACTATTATTTATAGTAGCATTTCAAAAACCATGAAAAATGGAATGTATTCTTGGTGCAAATATGTATTTATCTAAATTATTTCTATTTTTATGTGGTTTTTTATAGTGATCGATTCAGTCATTTCACAAGAATTAGTTTATATCTAAGTCAACTTAAAAATACTTGAAATTTTTGAAAATCATGATGTTGACCCTTACATTACATAGCAAACTGCCGCCCATTAGTGAGATTCAGGGTGTAAAAGTTCAGTTCTCGGAATGGTTATTCCTCTATGACTCAAACAATTTTTGAAATATGAGCATAAAAATTTGGATTCGCATATGTATAATGCGCAAATTAGATCCTATAATGTCATGGTAATATATGCATTTTGCTATTTATACACTATTTTGTATTTGCACTAACACATTTGAATTGTGGGAGGCACGTAAACATTCATTTTTTTCCATTTCTGTATAACTATATATAACGTCAACGTATTTTTTTGCTCCTTGATAGCATAATATAAAAATTGATTTTAATACTTAAAGCTGAACGCAACGTTTTTAAAAAAAAAAAAATTCAAAGGAAGAAGAAAGAACCATTGCAGTGCAAGGATACCCAATGCTAATAAGAAATAAAATTCTTTCTTTTGTACAAATATCCTACCAGGACGTATTTGGCACCAATATTGATGATTTGATAACAATAGGCAAAACCCATAAATGGATCCATACCCAGATGGTGGTACCGGCAATAATTTCGCAATGAAGTTGATGGCAAACAATGAGTTTGGTTGTGGTTCAGTCACTCTTTAGTCCATTTGTATACCTAATGATGTATCATTACTCGGTCTTGCATACCAAATTCAAATGTCTAAAATTCAATTAGAAATAATTGAAAAAAGTGGTTTTTCCGCTATAAGCTAATAAGTTAAGTTAAGTTCAATTTTTCAGTATTACAATGAAAGTACATTATAATATGCAAAGTTTACTTAAGAACAATACATAACAAAACACACACACGCAAAAATAGTTAGAAAGAGAAGACAAAAAAACAGTA